ATGTGAACAATGGTTGGACTATTTAATAGAGGGGTAAATAATATGCTCGAGCTCACGCGACGATTTATCTGGGTCATGTTTAAAAAAAATCACTTCAAAATAGTTGGAGTGTACTGTGATCAAGGACGCATTTCAGGAAGTAAACACAGAAAAGTGTCGGTATCAAATTTTTTTCTCTTACTTTTCTATTTTATTTCATTTAACTGTTTTTTTGCATAAAAAGCCCAATTGCAATCACCTCTTCAACCCTGGCCTCACAACTCTACATTAAAAAAAAAAAAAAAAAAAAAAAAAAAAAAAAAAAAAAAAAAAATTTCATACATTTTGAACTTCAAATGGTATCTTTAAGTTCACCTGAATGAACCTTTTCACAACCCTATTGTTATCGTTTTTTCATACCAGGAGACCGCTGAATACTGTTAAGTCGATCATAAACCAAGGAGGTAAAGGCTATTGATTCCAGAGGCGACAAAATTTATGTTTTTTTAACCCACTATTATTCTTATGTTATGCTACTTCGTATGATCCAGGTTGGCAGTCTGACAAAATTCATTGTTCAGTACTAAGGAAATTTTAACAGAGAAATATTATCCCATGTAGTTTAATAGATTGATACGTTTCTTGCCACGTTTTCAAATTTGAAGGTGAATTAAGTCTTTTGAAGAAATGGTGTTTCTGGTAACGTTAAATGGTTAAGATTCAATTAATCGCAAATTAGCAGAATGCATGTAGGTTAACTGGGTAAATGTTAGGAAGGGAACAACTGTATGAGCATAGATTTGTTAAGAGTCCACTAAAAGATTGTGGTTTTTATGTATTGGAACCTAGTGGAAAACGTCACAACACATGGGATTACAGTTAACTGGTCAGTTCTATACGCTTTCTGAATGCTAAAAAAACAATTGCGTAGTGATGAATGATAAATACTCAATTGACTAAATTAAAGTAGAAGATTACTAGACCACGCAAAAGACGCAGGAACTTAGACGGTAGTTATTTTCCCCTTTCTTAACTTTGTTACTTCCTTGTAAACATTCGAGGGAGGGGATATTTAATTTTTTACAATAGCAGTTGTTTAAGACAATGTTGATGAAAGGTTTATCATCTTGCCCCCTCCCCCCAAAAAAACTGAGAGAATGTAAAGGCAAAATATTAATCATGGCGCCATGGGCTTTAGAGACTGGGTGTGAACTTGGGGTACCTTATATGTATCGGTAAAACGTTACTTTCCACTTACGTCGCCTGCTTGTTAAAATGGAGACAGGCGTTCTATATAAAGAATCCCTTTCATGAGATCTGGATAAATGACTTTTCTTTTCGAAACCTCTCTTTTATCAGTCTGTGGAACTATTCCGGTTTTCAGAGTAGAAACCGTGCAGTAATTATACAAATATTTTCTCTCGACTCTGTGCACTTCGGAAAAAAAAGTCAGTTACACATTCGATACATGCTTACAGGTGTATGACACTTCGTCACTGTATAAAAATATATTTTAACAAACTAAGCCATCTTACCTGAAGATGATAATAAATATACCAACAACAAAACCCCAAATTTCTTCAAGGAATTCATTATATCAGGGTCGATATGGCACGCGTTGAAACAATATATCAGGATGCAAGTCAGATCTTGTTTATGTTTTGTGAGTTTTGCTCGAGATAAACAGTGTCTGGTCCCAGCCTACTGTGACATTAGTCTGTTATTTGGTCTGTTCTTCATTTGATTTCCTTTCCTTTTTGGTATGTTCCAAGTCGTAGGAGATTCAAAGTGCCCTATTCCGCCGTCTTTTGACTTCTGCTAACGAGAACACCTTGATATTATTCGAGCCTTTGCCTTGTTTTATAATACGACAAAATGTCCAGCGGTTTTGCGCAGAATTAATTTGCCCTATAGAAAAGCTGAAAAATGGCGCACTAAGATCCGTAAATTCAGGTTATGTCAAGATGCTCTAAATCGGTTGACTTTTGTAAGTCGTTACGTAAGACTTCAACACTGAAGTCAAATCTGTCTTTGAGTATTTTAGCACGATCAAAATTTTGGTTGCCGTCCTCTAGTTAAAGTAATATTTCTGCGCACTGCGCCTGAATTCATGTAAATAAAGTGAAATTACTTCCTGGTTGTAGAGGCCGATACAATGTGAAGAACGTGATTCGTGAAGGAGTAGTGTCCTATTTACGCTTCCCACAATTCCCATCATTCGAGGTACTATGTGTTAACTTCACATGGCGTTAACTGTGAGTGCATTCCCAGAGATTTAGATCGATCCAACTAGATCAACCTAACTCCCTGGGGGTTCACGCTAAATTGCTGTCGGCGGACCGCGCACAGAAGTTAATTTCCCCCTTAAAGCTTTTAGTAGGCGGGACAGACATTTAAGCCGGCTAAGCTGACAGTAATCTAGTGAGACTCCCCACGGGGATAGATCGATCTAAAATCTGTGGGGTCTTTGTTGATTATTCGTTCTCAACAATGAAGTTTCAGTTATCCACTACAATCATTTATATATCATCATGTGCCTGTACGGCTTATTCTGCTGTAATACAATCAGACTAGAGGCAATGGGCCCCGTTCATATGTCCTTAAGAGAAATCGTCTCGATCTTCTCTGTGTCGCAGGGTTAGATGACAGCAGCACTCCGTGGCTCAAGGACACGGAAACAGCTATAAAATTAATCAGCGTTGCCCGTGGAAAATTCTCCACTAGAAATAAATTTCATTTAGAAAATGTCGACACAAACCTAAGTATTTTGTGTAAATTCTAGTGGTAGCACGGTTCTGAGGCGACCTAAATGATGAATCGAGTGAATATGACCGAGACAAGGAGTGTGTTATTATAGTAAATAACCCGCTGTCAAATATCCCACAAAGAAATGCATCCATGCTAATCGTTTGACTGGTAACCTTTGACAAAGAACAGAGGGCCGTGTAAGCATATCCTCTATTTTCTGAGGTTTCTCCCACAACCAAAAAAAGAAGGCTTAGACAATTCTTTGGAGATAACAGTGGGGTGTTTTAACAGCTATTTTAAAGATAGAAAATAACTTTCTGCACAAATCTTGTCACTTGTCTTCGCTTTTTAAAAAGTTGCAATAGAGAAAATCTTTTAAACAGTTTTAACTTTTAAAACATCATCTTATGTGGGTAAAAGAAGAAATAATAATAAACATTGAATGAATTCTTACATTGTCACTTTATTTCTTTGCCTCAGAAACAAATTTACATTATAACAGCGATTCATAACTGTTTTAATTGTTATGTGTGTAAATGTAGTAAAATAGTCGCCATGGCAGGAAAACGTCCACTATGAATAGAATGTTGTCGTGTAGGTGCTTAACAAATCCCCACACAAAATAAACTGTAAGACTATATTACCATAAAGATGAATGCATAAAATTCCAACTATATAACGTCATTCGTGATCCACTATCAGTATGTCAGCGTTTTATAATTACTTTTTCTTCATATATATATATATATATATATATATATATATATATATATATATATATATATATATATATATATATATATATATATATATATATATATATTAGTCANTAAGAGCCGTTCCTAGCTTATGATTATGAAATACTGGATATGTATGTATAATAATGATACATTTATATATATGTAATTCTGGTGCTATTCATCTCTGTACATTTTCACCAGCTCAGTCTGGTGCAGAAAGTATGAATAAAGCATTAAATATATATTAAATATATTTTATTAACATCAAATTTCACACAAAAAAAAAAAAAAAAAAAAAAAAAAAAACACAAAATGAGAACAAAATATACATTCTACCAAGATATGCAATTTCAAGTCCAAAATTAGTACTTAGTGGCATAGCCACGTGACCTAATAACAGCTGCCAGTCTGCGAGGCAAGGATTCATAAAATTGTCTGATGCGTTCAGGGCTTATGCTGGCCCAAGCATGAAACACTGAAGCTAAGTTTCTCTGCTGGTTGGACGGGCATTTGTCAAAAGTTTTGACATATCATTCCACACATTTTCTATTATGTTTGCATCCGAACTCTGGGCAGGCCATATCACCCTGAGAATGTCCTGTTGGTCAAACCAATCATAAACTGCTCTGGGTCTGTGAGAAGGAGCATTGTCATCCTGGTGAATAAATGGATAATAATTGTCACTAAACATGTTAGTAATAGATGGTAGCAAGCCTGGCTTCAAAACATTGATATATTTCTGGTGATTCATGTTTCTATCAACCACTACCACTTTACCCACGCCATGGATGCTGATGCAGCCCCACACCATGATGGATATGCTGCTCCGGGTTCGAAAATTCAGTGCATGTGGTTCAAATGCTTTACCAGCAGTTCGCCAGCATCGGACCCGTCTGTCATCAGAGGTCAGACCAAAGCGACACTCACCAGAAAAAAACTATATAGGACCAATTGCCATGGACAGTCCAGTTCCAGATCCTGTTGGCCCTGGTTCACTCTGCGTTGCCCGTTTTGTAACGATATAAGAGGTTTCAGTCTTGCTACCCTGCTGTACACTCTCTGAGCATGTAACCGACGCCTGGCAGTTTTCACAGACACATTCTTAAGTGTGAAATTGTTCCACTGTGTTGCCAACTGACAAGCAGTGTCGAAACTTGACAACCTGGACATCAAAATCAGTCGTCGGTCTTCACGGCCAGTAGTTTTTCTTGGACGACCCATCAGAGGCAATTTGTCTCTTGATCCAGTGTTTCCATACCGATACCAGACCCTCTGCACGGTTCTGACTGAACAATTCAATTGTATCGATATTCTAATATTCGATATTATAGTATATCCTAATAATAACTTGACGTTTATAATCGTTAGATGATTGCCTGTATCTTGCCATATTGGAGGAAGACAGGAATAACATTTGCTGTACATGTACAAGACCAATAGTACAATTCTATGGTACATCGGTTTTATACTCATTAGTTACATTATAAGTAGACCAGGCATTATAACTACCCAAGATCTGCCTACTTTGATTACTCTGATTTAGGGGCTGACACTTCTATTGTCCAGTGTGTGTATATCAATATATCAATATCAATTTTTGTCTTTGTCAGTAATCTGCTGTTAAATGGCATAGAGAATATCCGTAGGTATTGTTTCTGTTAAAATAACGTGTTTACAGGCTGGTAGGAGTATTGATGAGGGTGCAGGGGGGGGGGGGGGAGGGGGAACCTCCTTTTTGGCCTAAGAAAACGTCCTCTCTGAACCCAAAGTTAACAAAGGTTTTATATATCCCATTCCTCAGGATGAGTCGACAAACAAGTACACACCTGATGCCTTCTTCCATGACTCAGCTAAAGGGGGCCAATGGGAGTTTTATTATCAATTTTGGTGGGTAGAGGGGGGGGGGGGGGATCCACCCTTTTTGAAACTGGACAGATGCCGACATAATCTGCATACTGATTCTCCTGGGTGCTTGGTACTTCATAGGTATTATCTGCCGTCAGTGTTAGGTAGTCCCCTGGAATTAAGTCATAGTCCGAGTCGGTTGACAGACGAAGTTGTCCTTTGGGTGATTTAGGAGGGGGAGGTACCGGACGGTCGGAAAACGCTCGGTTGAGGTGAGGAACATGTGAGGTTTGTGGGTCAGGTGGCGGTGTTCTGAAATAAGATTCACAAATGTACGCCACTTTTGTCCAATCTCAAGTAAAATGGCTAATAACAAGTTATTCGCAAGAAAAAAATCTACGATTGGAAATATACAGTAATGTACTAAACTTACTAAAAGATGTGCAAAATAACACACTAAACCAAAAAAGTAAACAAAAAAAGAAAGATTTGTAGATAAAGAAACATATGGATGAAAAATTACAAATATATAAAACTGTAATTAAGAGAGAGAGGGACATTTTACCTTCGTCTTTTCAGAAAAACTATTATAATGACCACTACCAAAATAACAGTGACCAAAGGTGTGGCCACTGCGACACCAATTACCATCGGGATGCTTGCCGAGTCCTCGCCTTTCACTATTAGAATCACAAAAATACAGATAATGTTTGAAAAGTTTTCAGGAACTTGACAAAGATGAAAGTGATGATAACACAATTCCAATGATTTAAATTTGTTACATTTGACTGATGCAATGGCTATCTCGCAATAGCGGGCGGGCGGGGTGGGGGTGGGGGATAATTAAAGATGTACATCTCTCTTAGGAAAACATGAAGATTTTTGCAAACTTGCTTCTAACTTCAGATGCTTTTGCAAATAAATAGCAAATTTGCAGCAACAATTTTTCTTGCAACAACCTGAAAGGGTTAAGTTTGTAGCCAATTGGCAGCAAATTAGCTGGAAATGTGTTGTCAACATTTTTATATTGGTAAAGGAGCTAGTTCTCCTCTTTCAAACTGCATGGATGGTCTCCGTTTCACAGTCACCTTAAGAAGATAAAACAATCGCCTTTTATAATTTTACTATTCAAAATCAGTATCAGCCATCAACTGTTCTATTTTAGAATTATTCTTGACCTTTGGAAGTCATACTACCTTCATCATTAATGGCTCCTTTTTCAGTGGTCGTAACTTTCGTGCTGGTAAAAGTTGGCGTGACCGTGGGAGGCAAGGCGGGCACTGTCGTTGCTAAGGAAGTTGACGAGATTTTATTCGAAGTTGAAACCTGAGTGCTGGATGTTGATGTGCCAGTGGTGGTAGTAGGCGTGGTAGACGTAGCAGAAGCCGTTGTAGACGTTGTCGTTGGCGTAGTGGCGATAGTAGTAGAAGTAGTAGTGGACTTTGTTGTTACAACAGCAGTTGTAGATGTGGTAGAATATGTAGTCATAATACAACCCGACACTCTATCTGGGCATGCGCACGTTCTGCCGTTGGGTTTTGGCAGACACAGGTATGGACAACCCCCATTGTTTACACTGCAGTCGTTCGATCCTACAGTGTAAAGTTGCCGAAGCAATTGGGACGTTAATTGCAACAAGACGATTACTCTAGTGCATGCAGTTGTTTTAGATATCATTTGATAATATGTGGCGATAAACAAGAACTTGAAATGATGTGCAATAATATATGGATATACCTGTAGGCGCGCTCTGTGCTTCATGTGTCTTTTCGTACATGTGGACCATCTTTGTAACAAGCGCCATAAGACTACTGGATCGATTTCTGTCCATTTAGTCCATGACGTCGGCAATACACTTAGAAATGATAATGCTTTTCCATTTTTGCGAGTGTAAAATATATGGGGGGGGGTGTTATAAATCCCAAGTGTCTCTAAGGTTTGACCATTTGATAATTTGGACTGGAACTTTTTACTATCAATGTGGTGATTTGGTCAGCCTATGGGTACAGTCAAATCGAAATATACTTTCTTGTGACCTTGACCATTACCATCACGTTTGGATAAAAAAAAATCATAAATATTGAAGGCCGCTAACCACACCAAGTCTGCCGAACGTTCATGAGTCGTCAGTAAAAAGTAAAACTCTTTGTCATCTTGCGCAACAATATGGGACAATTTATACCTTCCAAGCCAAATGCAAGGCCTATGGTGGCAGTAAAAAAGCTAACTTGACCTTGACCTTTGCAGAGGGTGATATCTCAGGAGTGCGTAGGGTGACATTTGTGTGTGTAGCAACGGAATGGGTGAAGTTTGGGACAGAGAAGCAAATAACATCCGCTCACTTGTCGGCGTTTTGGACAGGGTTTGCATGTAAGACCAGTTGGATGTCATATCGCCCGCTAAAAGGGGTTAATAAACAAGCGTCAGCTTGGCATGACGGGGCATGGTTTGAACAGGCGGCTATGAAAAGTCCCAAAGGTCAGATGAAGGGGTGACTTTATACCGTACTAAGCAGTAGTAAGTGGGATGCCACCTCCAGACCCCCTTAATCTTCAAGATTTGGGGCCTCAAAAGTGCTTCAATTTGTGCTTATACTGATGCTGTATAAACCCTGTACTGTAATTCCGATAATAACACATCAAATGGATATGCTAGTAAATGCCACTATCTTTCAGTAACAGGTACATGAAGAATTTTGGACACCAGTCCTAAGAAGCTACATGTGTGATTGTTACAGTAAAAATATATATTCCCTTTACCAACACTTGATAGTGTACATGTAGTATATGCATTCTGCACCTTAAAATGTGCATCTTTATTTATACATAAAGAACTACTAGTAGAAAATGGGATTTGTTTTGCAAATTAGAATTTTTCTGATATTTTCACCATATGCATCATTGTCATATAAATCCACTCTAATTTCTAGTTTCGTTAACAATTTGAACACAGCTGTATTAATAAACATACTGACATTCTCATATCTGAAAGTATTCCATGTCTTCTTTAATCAGAATAATAATGACATTCATAATTTGATAAGATGATTATTGTCAGCCCCAATTCAACAGTAACAAAATTCTCTCATAGTGATGTACAAAGACTAAGGGTGCATTCCCAGATATTTAGATCGATCCAGAGATTTAGATTTAGATCGACCTAACTCCCTGGGGGTTCACGCTAAATTGCAGTCAGCCGAGCGCGCACCATAGTTAATGACCCCCTTACAGCTTTTAGTAGGCGGGACAGACGCTTAAGCCGGCTAAGCTGACAGTAATCTAGTGAGACTCCCCACAGGGATAGATCGATCTAAAATCTATGGGAATGGGGTCTTATACACCACCTATTGATTGTTATTAGTGTGTGAAATAAGATTTAGAATTTACTGGTGCATAGCATTTGTCTCATGAATGAAAGGTTTTATCTTAATATATATTGCAAACAACAAATGTTGGTCATGCATTTTTTATATATGTAAGCTATACCAAACTGCAGATGAATCAGATCCACTATTTGGTAAACCTTGTAACAAAGAAAAAAATCATGAATCTTATGGCGTGTGGAATGGAGTCCCCCATCATCTTACAATGGCCACATTTAACTGAAAAACCTCTGAATGGCTTCTCTCATCTATCATCCCTAATTATATAGCTTCATGTATCATGTTGTAGTTCAGTGTTTCATATTCTTCAGTTATTATAAAGTTACCTCAGTATATCCATATATAGGCTACATTTTCATCAGCACACACTGGTGCACAAGATACAATAAATTCTTCTATATGAAAAACAACTGGTTTGAAGGATATTATTTATGAGTTAAAACAGATTTGTCATTAACATATTGGTTTTTAAATATATGTGCACAACCAAAGTGTGGCATCATATTTTAATTGGTGTGACTCATGCAGTTATATATTTTGCTATAAAAAAGAAAATACATAAATTTCATTCAAAAGACAATTTTGAGTGATACTTAACTAGACTTGACCAATACATCATAATATCCATGTAATTAGTGACTACAGGTAGTATCTGTAATATCATGGTACTAGAACCCGGTATGAGAAGACATGTATTTTTATACAGATTTCAAATACAAAACCATGATCTTGGTTTAATTCTTACATACATGCACAATGCCACTTGGTTGTTTGTGATAAACATTATAAATATTATTGAGAGGCTGTGAGCTTTAACAGCAAAAAAAAAAAAGCATACTACTAGTACATGTAGTAACACTTAAGATTTGAGTGCATAACCTGCACAAGAAATTGCTATATGTTCTAGTATCAATGAAAATGTCTTACTGGACTAACTTTGCTGTTTTGTGACTTGTTACAATATATCGTTTTCTACCAATACATTTTTAGACCATTACCACCTTGAGGACTCTTAACTCTTACTTACACCTATTTCACTTACTTACACTTACTTCTTACACTCTGTCCAGATTATTGCACGACAGTCACTCTCAAATCCGTCGCGTCTACGCCGAGCAGGCCCTGTTACATTAGTAGTACATATACCTGTACACTATTCAGATTCAGACAGATAAAAATCACTAAATTAAAAGGCGTGAAATGAGCAAAGGATTAAAATTTTTGCAGAAATATGTTTGTATGTAACTGAATTGTAATTCAAATAATACTTAATGGTATATATCTAACTCTGTGGGAGTGTTAAAATAACACGTAATTGATATTTGAAACTACTGACCTTTATTTTGTTGATTGCAAAATCGTGAGAGTCGCACTATTTATTTTATTAACGGTCAAGGTCACAAGAGAGGACTAATAGATTTGACTGGTGACACGGCCATTGATAGGAAAAAAGCCCAGTCGTATTCTTCAAAATTGGTATATTGGCAAGGAATGCTAAGTAAGAAGAAATTACTTTAGGACATTTAGATTTTACATTCCCAAAAACACTCCCAATATTTTACAATCGCGAAAATGGAATAGCATGTGTAATTCCGGCTACACCTCTTGGACTATATAGTCCCAAAACCAACATTTTATTTTCTGTAAATAATCCAGGCCCTACCTGATAAATGGTATGAACTTCTATACACGTGAACACCAGTTAACTTGGCCGTTGGAATAAATCTGGCAACACGAACAGTCGAGTTACTGCCGTCGAGTTTGTTGGCTCTACGGAACGCCCTGTTCAAAAAAATGAATAGAGAAGAAATATATAAAGGAAGACAAGTCAATTGAGATAAATTGAACATATAGCTGTATAGATATAAACAGATTTGAAAGAAATACATTTGCTAGAAATAGCAACATTATCGTACATTAAAGATGCATATTAAAAAAAAAACATATATATATATATATATATATATATATATATATATATATATATATATATATATATATATATATATATATATATATATATATAAGTCCTATTTCTTTTGCAGATGTTTTCAACGGGAGTGACGTACCAAGAAGCAAAACCCCAATCAGTGAAGTATATATGCAGGTCGTCCACGGCAATGCCAAAGTAGTAGCGACTAACAGTATATCCAGCTTCAATCAAAGATCGTCTGTTACTTCCATCTGGGTCGGACACTTCAATTTTGGAATAATTTCCATCGCACCAATAAAGTTTCTGTTCTGTAAAACATAATCTTAGTTGAGCAAAATGTATATTAGCTTAGTAGTTGGATCATAAATGAAAGTTATCAAACACAAGCCGAAAAACTCTCATGTCGTTAGCTTATGGCCAACCTGGACGTAGTCCTTCTTCAGACTAATAATATCTTAATAATTAAATGACATATTTAAGAGCAACCTGAATTAATACATCTATGAAAAAAGGTACAAGTAGCACAGAAAAGGATGGAAAGAAGTATGGTGAACAACAGGATAAGAGGCAGAAAGACCATTTAGTGGATAAGAGAGCAGACCAAGGTAAAGGGTGTGCTACTTACAATTAAATTAATGAAGTAGAGATGGGTAGAGCATGACAGTAGAATCAAAATGTCAGATGGACAATACTGCTGACAGAATGGGCACCAAAATTTAGACGTAGGAAACAAGGGAAGGCTCATAAGAGATGAAGGGATGAATTAGATGAGTACAGCAAAAATCCAAATTTGAAGTGTAAAGTCCAAGACAGAAAGCACTGGAAGGGACATGCTAAGGTTTTTGTCCAACAGTGGAATACTTTAGCCTCTGAATACTGATGATGATGATGATGATGATTTCTAAAGGAGCCATATAAAGAAAGAATTATCATTTTGAAAGAAGTCTTATTATTTCAATAGTTGTCCAAAATTCACCAGGGATGTCAATGTCTATTCCATTCGGCCTTGACAGATCCGTGTCTGCTACAGTTTGTCTGTTTTCGCCGTCCATGTGTGCGCGTTCTATCTTTGCTTCCGTTCCCCAATCCGTCCAATACATCCAGCTGTAACAAAGTATGGAGGTATGGAAGAAACGTGTTTGTCTTACATGTACGTCATATAACACAATGTCACGTAAGAAACATTATGCTGAACAAGATTTTACAATGCACAATGTACACGATCTCTATAAAACAGCATATGTCATGAATTTTGGCCCTTGTCATTCAGGATGGCAGTTCTTCATATTACGTCACTAAACGTCATGTAATGTGTAAAATCGCATCAACTGCTATGGAATTCATTGTAACTTTGACTGGCTTATAAAGACAGTCGTCTAGGTGCTATTGTTCTATTATTTGAGGTCAAAAAGAAATTGAGGATCGCGTCCAACCAGTATGTGTCGCCAGGAGAAATATTTATTTTGTGATGGTTGTGTATCTTATGAAACAACGACATCTTATGTAACGAGCTAAAACAGGGCAGAGCATTTTTGGCATAATGTAAGTACATATTTAAAAACAAAATAAGTTTAAGACACACACAAAAAAACAAAAAAACAAAAAAAACATCAATTCCAATTTTGATAATGTCAACTCTTTAAAAAGGGAAAACCCTCGCCAATACCCGTTAATTGGATCCAACGCCAACGCTCTCGGCCTATCCAATCCAGTTCTAAACAAGATCTTGTGGTGGGAGCCGTCCAATCTCATCACACCAATGGTGTCATACCTGTTCTCAGTGTAGTAGAGTAGGCGGGAAATGTGGTCAACTGTAACGCCGTCCGGTATGCTCCCTGAGAAAGAGAAGTTTGACCTTTAAATTCTCTCTCTCTCTCTCTCTCTCTCTGCGTAGATGTGCGTGTCACTATGTTTGTAATTTAAATCCTAAATCTGTCATTGCTACTCCTAGCACATCACACATACCAATAGTGAAATTAAAGACAATCTCCGGCGCTGTTCCATCAACATTTACTCTTCTTATTTTAGCGAAGGTGACAACTTCAGACCAGTAAACCCTCTGCTCTATAGGGTCGTAACTTGTGGATATGGGATTATTGCACTGGCTAAAGACGGGGTGTATGTTCCTCAGGATCAGATCAAGTTGCCATATTACTCCGTTTTTTGTGTCCGTGAAAATTAGGAAGTCATCGGTCACATAGCCACTGTGCACTAAATTGAAAGCAGAAAGCAAAAAATGATTAAAAAAACTGAATGAAACGAAACTGCATTTAATTTACAGCTTATGATTGACGTACTGCAGTAAGTCGGGCGCTCAACCCTTTGTTGGTAAAAATGGGAAATCTTAGTAAATTCTTGTAACTTTTGATTTCAAACATTTTACCGAAGATCTTCCAAAACTGAAGAAAATCAATGGACCCTCCATGATTGCAAAAAGTATATCAAGTTTAAGCACTATCAATGCGCTCATTGTCTAACAAAAATAAGGTAATGCAGAAAATATGTGACATTTTTTACAGTGAATAGGCTATACCCCCATATCCGCCAGCTAGTACCAGTATTATTTTCTTTAACACAATCGCACAGGTATTTCAGTTTTGGGACAGAACAACACAATCTGTGACATATGACCCAATGGGCATAAAAGGAGAGGTATACTTATACAGGCACTACCTTTGTTTGGATAATGGGTAATGGGTAATGGCTCGATCATTTCATGTACCGTGTTCCAAGACGCATTTCAAGAGGTAAATCCAAAAAAGCATCGCTATCAAATACCATATATTTCTCTTACCACTCTATTTATCTACACTACACTACACTACACTATCTACATCTACACTACACTACATTAAACTCTTTTGTTGTATAAAACCTTCTATTGCAACCACCTCTCTATAGCCTGGTCCACAAGTGCGCATTATTAAAACATCGTGGGTAATTTCACGTTTTGAACTTCAAATACTGTCTTTAAAGTGATAATAACTCTTCGTTTTGGCCAAAAAATGAATTTTCCTGGAGTAAACAACAATTTTCCCATACTTACCAATGGTTAACGAATCCATTTTTACATTCAAAGTTAGTCCCTGTTTTTTTTCTAAAAAGTTTGGTTTTTTGTTAAAATCTCTTAAGAGATTTTAACAAAGTATAGTATAGCCCTCAATGGAGGTCACGTGGTCTAAAGACAAGCTCAGATATCAGAATAATAGCTATAACAGCCGTTTTTGTGGGAAAACAGAATATATTATATTTTTATGAGTCATTCACAAAGTTTTTATTGTGAAATACAGATTTCATACGAAGAGTTATTATCCCTTTAAGTTCACCTGAATGAACCTTTTCACAAACATAATGTTATCATATTTGCATACCAAGGGACCGCTGAATACTGTCAAGTCGATCATAAACCAAGGAGGTAAAGGCTATTGATTCCCGAAGCGACAAAAGTTTTCCTTTCTAAATCGCTATTATTATGTTTTGCTACTTCGTAGATCCAGGTTGGAAGTCTGAATAAATTCTTTGTTCAGTACCAAGCGAATTCTACGAAGAGCAAAATAACCCCGTGCAGTTAAAAATATTGACACGTTTCTTGTCGGGTTTTCTTATTTGAGGGTGAATTAAGTCTTTTGAAGAAATGGTGTTTCTTTGTAACGTAAAATGGCTAAGATGTAATTAATCGCAAATTAGCAGAATGCATGTAGATCAATTGGATAACAGTTAGGAAGGGAACAAGTGTATAGGCATTGTTTTGGTAAGGGTCCACTAGAAAAATGATTATTTTTATGTATTGGAACGGAGTGGATAACGTCACTGCACATGGTGTTACAGTTAACTGGTCAATTCTAAACGCTTTCTGAATGCTAAAAACAATTGCGTAATAAATGATAAATAATCAATTGACTAAATTAAAATAGAAAATTATTAGACCACGCAAAAAGATGCAGGAACTTAGACAGTTGTTATTTTCTCCTTTCTTAACTTTGTTACTTCCGGGTAAACATTCGAGTGAGGGGATATATATATACAGTATATATATATATATATTTTTTTTTACAATAACAATTGTTTGAGGCAATGTTCATGAAAGGCTATAATTTTGCCCCCTCCCCAAAAAATTGAGAGAATATAAAAGCAAAATATAAATCATGGCTCTATGGTCTTTAGAGACTGGGTGTGAACTTGGGGTACCTTATCTGTATCGGTAAAACGCTACTTTCCACTTACGTCGCTTGCTTGTTAAAAGGGATACAGGCGTTCTATATAAAGAATCCCTTTCATGGGATCTGGATAAATGACTTTTCTTTTCGAAACCTCTCTATTATCAGTATGTGGCACTATTCCGATTTTCAGTGTGAAACCGTGCAGTAATTATACAAACATTTTCTCGCGACTGTGTGCACTTAGGAAAAAAAAGACGTCAGTTACACATTCGATACATGTATACAGGTGTATGGCACTTCGTCATTGTATAAAAAATATATGTTAACAAACTAAGCCATCTTACCTGAAGATGATAATAAATATACCAATAACAAAACCCCAAACTTCTTCAAGGAATTCATTATATCAGGGTCAATATGGCACGCGTTGAAACAATATATCAGGATGCAAGTCAGATCTTGTTTATGTTTTGTGAGTTTTTCTCGTGATAAACCGTGTCTGGTCCCAGCCTACTGTGTCATTAGTCTGTTATTTAGTCTGTTCTTCATTTGATTTCCTTCCCTTTTTAGTCTGTTCCACGTCGTAGGAGATTCAAAATGCCCTATTCCCTGCCCTATTAAGTGTCTTGTGACTTCTACTAACGAGAACACCTTGGTGTTATCCGAGCCTTTGCCTTGTTTTATAAGAAATATCCAGCGGTTTTTGGCAGTACTATTTTGCCCTTTAGAAAAGCTGAAATATGGCGCACTAAGATCCGTAAATTCAGGTTATGTCAAGATGTTTTCAAATCGGTTGTCTGTTCTAAGTTGTTACATAAGACTTCAACACTGAAGTCAAATCCGGCTTTGAGTATTTTAGCGCGATCTAAATTTTCGTTGCCGTCCTCTCGTTTAAGTGATATTTCTGCGCACTGCACCTGAATGCAGGTAAATAAAGTGATATTACTTCCTGGTTGTAGATACAATGTGAAGAACGTGATTGGTGAAGAGGTAGTGTTCAATTTAGTCTTCCCACAATTCCCTGAGTTCGACATATGATTTCCTTACTTCACACGGCGTTAAATTTGTTGATTGAACAGTCTCAATAACGAAGTTTTACGAATATCAACTGCAGTCATATATATATCATCATGCGACTGTGCATCCTGCTGTAATACAATCAGGCTAGAGGCACTGAGCCTCGTGTGTATACCTTTAAGAGAAATCGTCTCGCGCTTCTCTGTGTGAGATGAAAGCGGCACTCCGTGGCTCAAGGACATGGAAATAGCTGTAAAATTAATCAGCGCTGCCCTTGGCGATTTCTCTCATAGAAATAAGTTTCATTTAGAAATCGTCGACACATACCTAAGTGCTATATGTGAATTCTAGTGGTAGCACGGTTCTGAGCCGACCTAAATGATGCATCAAGTGAACATGACCAAGACGAGGAGTGTGTCATTACGTTCAGTAAATAACCCGCTGTCAAATTTTCCACCAACAAAGAAATGCATCCATTCCAATCGTTTGACTGGTAACCTTTAACAAAGGATAGTGGGTCGTGTAAGCATATCCTCGATTACCTGGGGATCTCCCTAAGTTCTCAGACCATTTTTGTAGAGAATAGTGGGATATTACAACAGCTACTTTAATTACAGAAAATAACCAAAAACAAAAGTCAAAAGGTCACGATATAAGGAAAATTCAGCTGGGGGATTTAAAAATATTATTTTTATATTTTGAGGGTGAGGGATGATGGACCTTCTGTTGATTTTCACACGCCAAAGAACCCGAAACGACACTGCAAACATAATTTCAAAATATCAAAACTGTACGATCCCATGTTGGTACGATACAATGGACAGGAACAGCGGGAGATATTTAGCCGAACAAAGCCGACAATAAAAAGACATCAAACAATATAAAACAATGCAACAATATTTGCAATAATAATAATGATAATAATTGTGCTGTACCCGTTTTTTTTTTGTTAGTTGTGACAATGCATTGCATCAAAGAACATCTTGAAATCTGACAAAAGCAAGATCTATAAACCCATTTTAGTTGACATGTATATTTATCCCAATTTTGAGTCACTTTCGTGATGGAGATTATTATAGACAAGTGAGATTTCAGTCGTCACGTTGAAAATAAAATTTTAAAACTCATAAGCAGGCTTTAAGTCTGTAAAATCCTCAATAGTGACCTCATTGCTTAAATTCATTAAAGTCTAACATACATGTACATTGCACATTTTCCTTTAACAATCTAAATTATAACTTTAAAATTGTAAGTGGTTTTTTTCAATAACATTTGTTATGCAGTAATGTCGTGCAGCAATCTTGGGTAACATATCAAAACGTCCAGAAACAGCGAATTATGTTCACTCTTAAAGCAGGGTGGTATATTGAAAAAAAAAAAATGCTCGGGGCGGGAAGGATGTTGCTGACGCCCTGCAATTCGTGCGAATCGATACAATGTTCAGATGCATGTAATTCGTGCCGCCTTTGGCACTCGTCTAGATTTATAGAGTCTTAAAATAAAAAAAAGGAAAAAAACTCTGACTATTTGATATTTATAATGTCATTCGTGATATCATTGTGTTACCACATCCGACATGTTGTCACTTAATAATATGTTTTCTCTAGATCTGCTTGGGTTTATTTTGTCTGAAACTGCTTGGCCTTGCTAAGGGGTTGTTACACATTGATCCCCTGGCAAAATTCTGCCATAGTCTTCATCCTTACTTGGTACTTCATGAACGTTTTCTGCTATCGAATTTTGGTAGGCGCTTTGAACATTATTGTCATACTACGGGTTAATGACCGATAGACGGAGCTGTCCTTAATGTGATCCAGGAGGGGCCGGTACCGCACTGTTGTAATATCCTGGGTTGGGTTGAGGTAAACTTTGTGCTCTTCTGAAATATGATGTTGTTATATACACATATATTTACTAGTGCCGATTAACATCTCAAATGGATGACAATTGGAAGTGGGACATAAAAATAAAAATGTACGATTTGAAATTTCCGCAATGCACAGTTCGTAGTACATGCATATGTGTTAGCATGAGTGAACAGAACAAAGTGTACTCAAATAGAAAACTAAAAAAATAAAACTGCACTATAAATTGATAGGTAACATAAAAACGCGAATGAAGATATAGCAAAGCTACGGAATTTCATTGAAGAAAGAGAGGGAGAGCGTGTTCTATGGGGTAAGGGTGGCGGTGTTCCAAAATATGATCTTGTTATATATATATATATATATATATATATATATATATATATATATATATATATATATATATATATAAATGGAAATATACATGACTGAACAAACCAAACGATACCCTATTAGCCAACTAAGCTAATAAAACTTAATAAATACATCAATAATAGATACAGAAACGTGAATGAAAAGCATGACTAAACACGGGACTTTATTAAAGAGAAAGGGTGTGTGTGTTTATGTAAGTGAGAGAGAGAGAAGGAGAGGGAGAGATATTCACCTTCGTCTTCTCAAAAATACTAATATGATGACCACTACCAATATGACAACAGCCAGCAATGAGGACACTGGGACAATAATTTCCAATGGGATGCTTGTCGAGTCATTGCGTTTTACTTCTGAAATCACATAAATAACAGAATAAAAAATTGACAAATAACCAAACGGTGAAAACCATTTATGATCATGATTTCTAGGCCTTGCAAAAGTTTAAAATTAAAAGAGGTAGACCTGCTCGCATTCAAACCAGATGGTCTCCATTTTAAAATAGCCTCGAGGAGATGTTGCCATAGAGAACAAAGTCAACAGCAATCACAGCCATTAAAATTTCCAAGCTATATTTTATTTAATCCTTTGAAAGTCACGCTACCTGTGTCATTTTTAGCTCTCACTTCTTTGACAGTAGTAGACGGTGTATCAGTTGCCGTCGAAACGCATTCGGATTCCTCATCTGGGCATGCGCACGTTCTGCCGTTGGGTTTTGGCAGACACAGGTATGGACAACCCCCATTGTTTACACTGCAGCCGTTCGATCCTACAGTGCAAAGTTGCCATAGTAAAGCGTAATTAAAATAATATATTGCGCAAAAGTTTGAGGTGTTTTGATCACGTGACAATATATGCGAATATGAAATGGTGTGGAGTAATATATTTAAAGTGGGCGCTGCGATATCAATAAGCATCTTAAAAAAATAAAGCTGAGCTTCTGTTAAAAAACCTAAATAAAAATAATAATTATTCCTAGGCTACTAAGGTTTGATTCCAAAAATTCACTTCAAACTTACTGTTAAATAACGCAATACCTGATAAATTGTAAGAGCTTCTGTACACGCGAACGCCTCGTAACTTGGCCGATGGAATGGAATCATTGCTTTCAACAGTAAATTTACCGCTGTCGTACTTGTGGTATGACCTGCAAAACAAACAAACGTGAGTCATTTCAATACCAAAAAGATAAAAGAGGATAAATAAACAAAGAAATAGCTCATCATATGATATATATATAACTGAATATATATAAACAGATCAAAAATCTGTTCTATGACTACCCGCTCACCCAACGCAAATAAATCACTAACGTTCAAGGTATGGTTTTTCACTCGTTGTTACATGTGGACGTATCCATGCACATGTACGTGTCACAGCTGAAGTTCAATTCATAACTACATATATTGTCCACATTCAACAGCAAAATTATAGTTTAAAAAACTCTACAAAATGTCTTTCAAATATCTAAACCGGAAATGACGTACCATGTACCATCAAAGTTGAAATCAGTGAAATAGATCTGCTGGCCGTCCACTGCTATATCATAGTATCGGCCTCCAACAGTATCTCCCGGTTTGATTAAAGATCGTCTGTTACTTCCATCTGGGTCAGAGGTTTCAATTCTTGAATAGAGTCCATCGCACCAATAAAGTTTCTGTTCTGTAAACCAAGTTTAAAGGAAAGTGTGTATTCGGTATTTGTTTTGAAGAGAATCAAAGTACAATTATCCGATTTTATTCCGTCAAGTATTTTTACCGTAATGATATCATCCGTTTTCTACGTCACAACCAATTATACCTTATGATTTAGATACACATATTATCTGTCAAATGCTCTTTCAAGCACTATGCACCCGGTATTGGGAAGGTTTTTTGAATACAGCAAAAAACAAATGTATGCAGAAAGATATATCCGTGTGACACGAACGGTGAAAATAAACCTCTCTACTTGATCAACATCCCAAAGAATTGCTTTCTAATATAGAACAAAGAATAGGACGATGCTTTGCTAAAAGGACTATATGTTGAATATGAAATGAATAAGAATTGGGAAGGAGAAGCTTAACAGAACATGAATATGATTGTGTGTGTGTGTGGGGGGGGGGGGGGGGTTCAAACGCGTAAGGGAGAAAATTTAAATTTTTT